CTAGGAATTGTGCCACTTAGGGGAGCCTGGTACACTAGAGCTTGAAGGCGCCCCTGTTGATTTCCGGTCTCAAAAGGGACCCAATTTACCCCGTTCTTGGCGCCAGGGCGCCAAATCCAACCCTATTCTCTGATACATGTATGTACTATAGGGGTCTAGAGAGGGCGCCTGCTGCCCAAACTAGGAATTGTGCTACTTAAGGGAGACCGTGACACTAGGGCTCGAAGGCGCCCCTGTTGATTTCCGGTCTCAAAAGCTACCCAATTTACACCGTTTCTGGGTGCCATGGCGCCAAATCCAACCCTATTTTCTGATACTTATATGTACTATAGGGATCTACAGAGGGCGCCTGGCGCCCAAACTAGGAATTGTGCCACTTAGGGGAGCGCGGGACACTAGGGCTCGAAGGCACCCCTGTTGATTTCCGTTCTCAAAAGGGACCCAAATTACCTCGTTTCTGGGCGCCAGGGCGCCAAATCCAACCCTATTCTCTGATACATGTATATATTATAGGGGTCTAGAGAGGGCGCCTGGTGCCCAAACTAAGAATTGTGCTACTTAGGGAAGCCCGGGACACTAGGGCTCGAAGGCGCCCCTGTTGATTTCCGGTCTCAAAAGCTACCCAATTTACACCGTTTCTGGGCGCCAGGGCGCCAAATCAAACCCTATTCTCTGATACATGTATGTATTATAGGGGTCTAGAGAGGGCGGCTGGCGAATGTTTATGTACATTGGGATTGTGATGGGAATTTTCGAAATATAGCAATCATTTTACATTTAGAATCAAAGCGAATTTTTAGTTCGATCTATTATTTCCATACTTTGTTATATATTCCATCATTTCATCATTGATTTCAAACATTTATATTTTAGCCCTAACTTAAAGTATATACGTTGCCTAATTTAACCAATCAGCTAACGCCTGGCCATTTATTGCTCTTCTCCGTCTTGTTCAACCAGGAAATAATGTGTTAATCCAGAAATTAGGTTCTCTATTTTCTGTAAACTTTAATCTGATAACTTCATTTTTTAACACCTTGTTTTAAGTTAATTAACAGTAGATGGTAAATAACTATTGTCCTTTTAAACAAACCTGTTTGTTCCATCTATGGTATTTTAAGAAGTTGGTCTATAAAAATAGGAGTTCCTCCGGAGATTTTAGACGTATCTTAATATAAAATCCAATGCAATTTTTTCCCCCTTTTAATTACAAGTAAAATTTAACATACAATATATCAATACCATCTACAATCCAACATTCAATTTCAGTTACGAAATATGATATACGTCCGTATCTTTTTTCCTTTTTTTCTCCCCCCTCCCCCCCCCCTTTTTTTTTTTTTTTGGTTAATGGGGGTTGTACACAACAACCACAAAAATGATTGACTTCAGATTAAAAAAAAAGTCTCCAGGTCTCGGAAAACTGACAAGTGAAAAAAGAAGGGGAAGGGTTAAATGAGCCTTTGATGCTTGATAGAGTCTACTATTTTTTTTTGCCGAAATAAGCAATAAATATACTCTCCGATGTACAAGTGTACATTTTGTAAGGTTTATTCTTAAACTGAAAATCTTTGTTTGACAGAGATACTTAATTCATAAATAAAAATTCATACATATTCACATGTTACAGATAAACTCATTTTTAAAAATATACATAAAACATTTCAGTCTTTAATTTTGATAGCACAGTTTTTGTTTTATTATTTTTTCAAACATATATTGAAAATAGTTTATATTTCATCAAGTAGCCATTATGAATGTCTTATATTACGAAAAAAAAAACCGACAACAGCTGGACAGATTTTACAAAGTTGAGCACATAGGAAAATGTTACTTGTACATTACAATATTTTATGAAATTTTAACCCTATAACAAAAGAAAAATATAGTTTACTATATAGTTATTAATAACTATAGTTTCCCAACGTTTTACCATTGTAAATTTAAGTTTCACAGTTTTCTCTACAGAAAATTGAAGTTTCAAAGTTTGAACTATAGAAGATCAAAGTATTAAAGTCTTAACAATAATTGTAAATAAAAGTATCAAAGTATAAATAAATCAATGTTATCATTATAGTAAACCAAAGTTTAATCGCAATAATTAATGTACGGAAGCGTATTACTGCCACTTGAAAAAGAAATATATTGTAAGTCATACGTACGAGATACTAATTCTTACGTACGAGATGTTAAGCAGGGGCGGATCCAGCAATTTTTGAAAGGGGGGGGAGTTCCAAGGTTATGCCCCTCTAAACCCCCCCCCCCTCGCAAATACATATTCTCAAGCAAAGATTCACAGACGTGTATGGAAAGGTCTAAGGTTGTGATAAATACTATCTTTGTTTTATGTCCTTTAAAAAAATGCGTACCCCCATTCCGAACAAAACAAAAACAAAAAACAAAACAAAAAAAAAAAATCAAAAACTACGGAAGCTTTAAAATTGAATGGATTCGTATCACTTCCGAAGATTATAAAGTATTTTCTTTAAAAATTTGAAAAACCTTTTCTAGGTGGGGTGCGGGGGGGGGGGGGGGGGGGTTAAAACAAAGAGTTACATGTTAGTTCGTTCAATTGATCAAGATCTGATAAAAACGGTACATATATAGCCAACACAGCCAAAGATCGCGGGAATCTAGTATCAAATTAAACCTCCCATGTTACATATCATATGCAAGATATATAAAAATAAGTAGAATATTTTCTACCATTCTCTCATAAAAATATAATAGAGGAGGTGATTGGAGGAAACTATTACTAAATGTGTGAGAATCTATCCATTCAATCAATAAATAAGACGTACAAACATATAACCTCGGAAAACGTTTTATCCTCTCTCTCTCTCTCTCTCTCTCTCCACTTGGCAAAAAATAAAGGGGGGTTCCAACCCCGGAACCCCCCCCCCCCCCCTCTGGATCCGCCAATGTTAAGTCGTAAGTACGAGATAATAAGTCGTACCTTCGACATACTAAGTCGTTCGTACGACATTTATGTATATCTCGTACTTATGAGATACTAATTCGTACCTACGAGATACTATGTCGTACGGACGACATAATAAGTCTAGCGTACGACAGAATATTTTAAGATAAGGCAAATAAAAGCATTAGCATTTTCCTAACTGAAATTTTATTTTCTAGACCTGTATAGTATCAAATTATAGGGGTAAACTTGGCTCGTTGGGGCCTAGAAACGGTGTCAATTGCGTGGGCCTTTTTTTGACACTTGAAACTGTTAGAGGCGCTCCTGCACCATGGTGTTCCGGGCTTCCTTAAATGGCACAATTCCTAGTTTTGGCGCTGGGCGCTTTCTCCAGACCTGTATAGTATAATTCAGTGCCCTGGCGCCTAGAAACGGTGTCAATTGGGTCCTTTTTGACACTTGAAACCGTTAGAGGCGCTCTTGCGCCGTAGTGTTCCGGATTTCCCTAGGTGGCACAATTCCTAATTTTGGCGCTTGGCGCTTTCTCTAGACCTTTATAGTATCTGTAAGGTATCATATTATAGAGTAAATTTAGCGCCTTGGCGCCTAAAAACGGTGTCAATCGGGTCCTGTTTGACATTTGAAACTGTTAGAGGCGCTCTTGCACCGTAGTTATCCGGGCTCCCCTAAGTGGCACATTTCCTAGTTTGGGCGCTGGGCGCTTTCTCTAGACCGGTATAGTATCTCTATAGTATCAAATTATAGGGGTAAACTTGGCGCCCTGGCGCCTAGAAACGGTGTAAATTGGGTCCTTTTTGACACTCGAAACCGTTAGAGGCGCTCTTGCACCACAGTGTTTTTGGCTCCCCTAAATGGCAAAATTCCTAGTTTGGGCGCTGGGCGTTTTCTCTAAACCGGTATAATATCTGTATAATATCACGTGATAGGGGTAAACTTTGCGCCCTGGCGCCTAGAAACAGTGTCAATTGGGTCCTTTTAGACACTTGAAACAGTTAGAGGCGCTCTTGCACCATAGTGATCCGGACTTCCCTAAGTGGCACTATACCTAGTTTGGGTGCAAGGTGCTTTCTCTAGATCGATATATATAGTATCTGTATTATATCACATTATAGGGGTAAACTTTGCGCCCTGGCGCCTAGAAACGGTGTCAATTGGGTCCTTTTTGACACTTGAAACCGTTAGAGGCGCTCTTGTGCCACAGTGTTTTTGGCTCCCCTAGGTGGCACAATTCCTAATGTGGGCGCTTGGCACTTTCTCTAGACCTTTATAGTATCTGTAAAGTATCATATTATAGGGGTAAAATTAGCGCCCTGGCGCCTAGAAACGGTGTCAATTGGGTCCTTTTTCACCCTTGAAACCGTTAGAGGCGCTCTTGCGCCGTAGTGTTCTGGACTTCCCTAGGTGGCACAATTCCTAGTTTGGGCGCTTTTCGCTTTCTCTAGACCGGTATAGTATCTCTATAGTATCACATTCTATGGGTTTATTTGGCGCCCTGACGCCAAGAAACAGTGTCAAAAGGGTCGTTTTTGACACTTGAAACCGTAAGAGGCGCTCTTGCGCCACAGTGTTTTTGGCTCCCCTAAGTGGCACAATTCCTAGTTTAGGCGCAAGGCGCTTTCTCTAGACCTGTATAGTATCTGTATTATATCACATTATAGGGGTAAACTTGGCGCCTTGGTGCCTAGATACGGTGTAAATTGGGTCCTTTTGACACTTGAAACCGTTAGAGGCGCTCTTGCGCCGTAGTTATCCGGGCTCCCCTAAGTGGCACAATTCCTAGTTTAGGCGCAAGGCGCTTTCTCTAGACCTGTATAGTATTTCTGTAGTATCACATTACATGGGTAAATTTGGCGCTCTGGCGCCTAGAAACGGTGTCAATTGGGTCCTTTTATACACTTGAAACCGTTAGAAGCGCTCTTGCGCCGAAGTTATCCGGGCCCCCCTAAGTGGCACAATTCCTAGTTGGGGGGGCCATACTTTAATTAATTAATGGGTGTTTTTACATCGGGTTCGATAAACACTTAAATGTTATAAAAAATTTTCTTAGCTAGCTTGACTTTAGCCAACTCTTTTGATTTTTTGGAACTTATGAATTATGACAAGGTATAGATGAGCTATTTTTGTTTCAGAATTATGAAAAACCATCAATATTTTACGAAAAGTGTCTTCAATCGCAACTATCCGATTATTCATGACAGATCAGAACAGTTATAGATTGTAGCTTTATAGCATAACCCTTAATCATATGCATGAGAATGATATGTAAGAAAACATACATTTAGAAAGTGGATGTAGGCGAAAGCCCGTCCACTTATCTAAAAGAGAATAACTTTGTATATTGAAATACTTCACTGTTCAAAAGAAAAATTTTCTAATGTCTGACCTGCTGAGATGAAGATGTTAAAAAAGAAAAGCCTACATTAAAAGTGAATTACATATGTAATATCAATTAAGTAATGCAAATGAATCATCAGATTGAATTATCAGTTATTTCACAATTATTGACCTGTGTAGCAGTGTAGGCCAACATGAAGTTATAAGGACCTATGTCAAGTGATACTGACTCGCGGTGAAAGAAAATAGGAACTGTGTGAGAGGTCATGTTCATTTTTTTTCTCTGAGCTCAATATCACTTGACATGGGTCCTTATATAAACCACATTTTGACTAATATGTTGATGGTATGACCTTTAGGGTGAGCGCAGATACTTGTCCAGTTTTCATTTAGTTCAGACTTGCCAAACTGCACGTGACATTCGGTGCGTCGTTTGTATGTTGCTTTACCAAACCAAAGCCTGAACAGGGCTATAATTTCAATCAATTTATGACTATTTTTCTTCAACAAACAGATAAATTTATTAAATCAAGACAAGTTTATTATTCATTTAACTTTTGTTGTTATTCTCACCAGAACGTTGCTTTAGCGTTTGTTTACAAAGCGATGCATTGTGGATCAAAATTACTGTGTAAAAAATTTTATGGAATGAATGTGCAATAGTCCAAATTTTCTCTTCGCTCAGGCTTTGTCGTTAGAGCTCACTGCGCTAGCTATAATTGTATTGTTATATAATCACTCAAAGTTAATATTCTGAAGATGTTCTCACTGAACAGACTTGGCTGTCATTAGGTCAAAATTACCAAAAAAAAACATGCTTCTTATATTTGCTGTGCATAATATAATTATAACAGACACCAGATTCTACATAACTGTGGTGCAGGCAAACAATGAGCTGAGCAATATCATATTTTGCTGGTAAGCTATTGCATCAGTATCAGCCAATATATATTTTGTAAAAAAGACTTGTATGAACATGATGAACAATGAAATAGTATACACTTATTTTATGACTATGAGGTAAACAGTCAAACTGTTGTCCTGAGGTAGTGGGGAAGACCTTGGAAACTGTTGCCTGAGGCTGAAGGCCGAGGGCAACAGTTTCCCAGGTCTTCCCCACTACCGAAGAACAACAGTTTGACTGTTTTACCGAGTAGTCATTAAATAAGTGTTTTATTACCTAACTTGAATTAATTAATTAAATTGGAATAAAAACACGCAGAAAATCAATAAAGGGTTTTAAGAACTGTTTATTCATGTACTTGTCTATGAATTAGCTGAACACATAATATAAAGATTAAATTAATATTAAATAATTCAAAGTAATTCTTAATAAATTGATTGATTGATTGTTTGTGTGTTTTATTTAAGGAATGAAGCTAAATTCAACTTATGTTATCCGATATAACATAACTTGGGGCAGTTTACGCTTTATAAACTGTAGTTATTCATTCCTTATAATTTAATTTCAGTGTAGACAATGAGACAATATTTCTTCCGGAAAAGGTGTCAAATTGAGCATTATTTTAAAAGTAACGTTAAGCAGAGTAATACGTTTTTGACGTAGCTCATTGTGACTTAGGCAAGTTATGTTATACAAAATATTATATGTTCCTTTGAATGATTCAGCCAATGAAATTGCTTGATACAAGTGAAATTAAATTATTTCAATTTAATTAATTATAAAGCAGGTAAATAGTGATGTCGTGATCATCAAAAATCTTGAATATCACGATGATGCTTTGAACAGGCAACAGTTCATTCTGTGACCCGGCCAACAGTTCGACTTTTTCATGATCACGCAAAAACATTAAATAAACGTGAAACAGTTGAAAATGCCTGATAACAAATTATACAGTAGGTTAGGTAATAATGAATAAATATTGTTTGTGGCCCCCAATATTAGAGATGTAGAATGGTACAAACAAATCGATGCTCTTATGTTTTAAATTTTGTTTATTCAGATATTTCTCCCATCCTGGTAGTTGCTGTCAGATGCCTGATGCTAAATTAGATAATTAGTTTAAATTAGAATGCAATAGTACCTGAACATAATTTATCCTTTCAGAGAGAAGAAAACTGACTTTAAAAGAAAACCGGTGAGATTAAATCATATGAAATGTATGATGAATCAGGATGTGATCATTTGGTAAGTGGTAGTTAATTCAATCATGAATTGGAATGTATGACAATTGCATGAAAAGAAAAAAAAATGATTCAAAATTTAATAAAAAAAAAAAAGAAATTGAAATACTGAATTTTGGTTTACCAGCTGTGAGCTACAACAAGTTTTATGTAAAAGCTAGGGCTGAATCCATATGCCCCCTCAATGATATATGTGTATTGTTGTGATTGACATACATCAGTTATCTGATACATACAGTCAAACTTTGTTTAACTCGAACCTGAATTGAACAGGAAAGAACTTCGAGATCAATGAAAATAGGAAAATTAAATGCATATTTACTGATTCTTGCTGGTCAGTATTTGTTGACTTTAAGGAAACTCTAAACACTGCACACTAAAGAGCTATACTTATAGGGTAGTTTTATGCAGTTAGAGTGATCTGCCCTTAGATTTAAGATTTCTGCTCACAAATAGTCCTATGTCTTTTTGAACATTTTCCTGTGAAATGAGGCACATACAGTACCCTACTTATATTTATTTTGATAAGTTTGTAAATATATTTTTCATTAACAAAAAAAGTCAAAATTGACAAATTGAAAATTTGACAAACAATTCATGTTTTAAGAAGGGGTACATTGGCCACTCTTGTTGCCTAAAGGAGATGCATCCACTTTCAATATTGCATGTTAAGCTATACCCGGTGATTTATCAGTTTTAAGTGAATTTGTTTAAGACAGAAACATATCAAACAAGAGGCCCATGGGCCACATCGCTCACCTGAGTAACTTGGGTGATGCAGATCTTTACCAGATTCCCCCTCTTGCTATACCTATCATGCCCAACAACCCCCTTCCCTTTTTTATTTTAAAACTTTAGAATCTACACTACCCAAGGATGCTTCCACATAAGTTTCAGCTTTCCTGGCCCAGTGGTTCTAGAGAAGAAGATTTTTAAAGATTTGTTCTATATATTTCCATGTAAAACTTGGATTCCCTATTGTGGCCCCACCCTACCCCTGGGGGACATGATTTTATTAATTTAAAATCTACACTACCCAAGGATGCTTCCACATAAATTTCAGCTTTCCTGGCCCAGTGGTTTCTAAGAAGAAGATTTTTAAAGATTTGTTCTATATATTTCCATGTAAAACTTGGATACCCTATTGTGGCCCAGCCCTACCCCCAGGGGTCATGATTTGACCAGACTTGAATCTACACTACCTGAGCATGCTTCCATATAAATATGATGAATTATCCCGGCCCAGTGGTTATTGAGAAGAAGATTTTTAAAGATTTGTTCTATATATTTCCATGTAAAACTTGGATTCCCTATTGTGGCCCCACCCTACCCCTGGGGGTCATGATTTTAACAATTTAAAATCTACACTACCCAAGGATGCTTCCACATAAATTTCAGCTTTCCTGGCCCAGTGGTTTCTAAGAAGAAGATTTTTAAAGATTTCTATGTAAAACTTGGATTCCCTATTGTGGCCCCGCCCTACCCCCAGGGGTCATGATTTTAACAATTTAATATCTACACTACCCAAGGATGCTTCCACTTAAGTTTCAGCTTTCCTGGCCCAGTGGTTCTTGAGAAGAAGATTTTTTAGTGACCCCACCCTATTTTTGTCTTTTCTTGATTATCTCCCCTTGTAAGGGGACTTGGCCCTTCATTTTAACAAATTAAACTCCCCTTCACCCAAGGATGATTTGTACCAAGTTTGGTTAAAATTGGCTCATTGGTTCTTGAAAAGAAGTCGAAAATGTGAAAAGTTTACAGACGGACAGACGGACAGACGACAGACAAAATGTGATCAGAAAAGCTCACTTGAGCCTTCAGCTCAGGTGAGCTAAAAAGCATTTCAGACCAAAACGGGACTTCAACTGGAAGTACGGCATGTTGTGACAACATAGAGAGTCCCCTAAGATTGGTTTTTTTAGCTCACCTGAGCCGAAGGCTCAAGTGAGCTTTTCTGTTCAAATTTTGTCCGTTGTACGTCTAGCTGTCCATCCGTCCATCTGTCTGTCCGTCTGTCAGAAAAGGGAAGGGGGTAGTGGGGCATGATAGGTATAGCAAGAGGGGGAATCTGGTAAAGAACTGCATCACCCAAGTTACTCAGGTGAGCGATGTGGCCCATGGGCCTCTGGTTTTTTGGGTTGTTTTTTTTTTGTGTGTGTGTTCAGTTTGTTATATTTGAGCTTTTATATATTTTAGAGGCATTCACCAATGTCATTACTAATGACAAACAGGAGAAACGGAGACGGGAGAATGGAAAGACTGATCTTCACAGACAGCAGTCAAAACAAAGCAAAAGAAAGCGTTCAGTAAGTCTAATTTACTCAAAACTTTATGAAAAAGTGATCTTTTGGGGTTTATTTTTAAACTAATCGGCCTACGTTTCAAAGATATTTGTTAATTAATAGTCTTCTTTCATCATGTATAGCAGAGTTGTAGAGGAATTCAATATTCTTTGAAATTTATGATATTTTGTGTCAATGGGTATTTCTACAAAACTAAGGTCACATAGTTCATTATCATTTATACTTGTACAGATATGTTTTTAAAAAGTCTGTATGATTAACTATGCGCTTTTTCCCTCAGAAACTGGAAAGAAGAAAGAAGGCTGTGGAACATCTTAAGTTATCTAGAGGAGTCATGGACCCCAACATCTAAAAAGAACTTGACGGAGTGCCTTCAGTTGGACATAACTTCACCCGAGAAGACTGATGACGAAAACTCAACAAAGTGGGTCAGGCTCCCATTTTCCTGGAAAACAACCAGACTGTGCAAGGGAAAAGAGGCACTGGACAAGGCATATAGACACAAGGTCCTGAAGACCGAATCTGCAGATGCCAGTTGGTATTTGTAAGGGATGGTAGAGAGGACACAACAACACCTCCTCCTGAGAAGTGTCCAGTTTGGGCCATTTCCAGGGACTACTCCTCATAGAGGTAATTAATTTTCTCAGATACTTATTAGCTCTTCTGAGCCAAAGGCTCAAAGAACTAATGCTATGGCCATTTGTGCGGTGTGCGTCGTGCGGTGTGCATTAACTTTTTAGAATATGGGCCATAACTCAAGAACCCCTTGGCCAATCATTTTCAAATTTGTCACAGGGTATCCTTGGCCCAAGGTCTACCATTTATACTAAAACTAAGGGTAGGACCCTAAAACAAGGGGAGATAATCACGAAAATAAAATAAGAAAAACTGGTTGCTAAAAAAATCTTCTTCTCCAGAACCACCGGGCAGATTTTCACCAAACTTACATACAAGGGTCGGGATATTTTGAAGATTAAAAATTGTTCAAGGCATGACCCTGGGGCAAAGGGTGTGGTCTGAATGTCACTTCAAAGTTGACCAAAATTTACAGTTTATAAAAATGTTGATATTTTGCTTACTATAAAGACTAGGATCATCAAATCTTGTAAGTTGATGCATCTCAGGACTTGACATCATGTTAATACAAAAGTAGGTCACGGTGACCTACTTTATAAATTTTACGGGCTTTTGTTTTGAAATTAATTGGTAGGCATATTTTGGACACTTTAAGGCCTATGATCATAAAACTTGGTCAGATGGTGCATCTTGGGTCCTCAAACAACATCAACTTAAAAGTAGGTCATCGTGACCTACTTCTTAAATTTTATGGCTATACTTTTCTAAAACATTTAATCCCATTATTTCAGACACTGAAAGGTTTAGAATCACCAAATCTTGTAAGTTGATGCATCTTGGGGCTTTAAAACATATTTATTAAAAAGTAGGTCACTGTGACCTACTTTTTGAACTTTGCAGGCATTTGTTTTCAAATTGTTTAAAAGACATATTTTGAATACTGTTAGACCTATGATCATCAAATTTTGTCAGTTGATGCATCTTTGGTTTTCAAAGCAAGTCGACCAAAAAGTAGGTCATGGTGACCTACTTTTGACATTTTATGGCTAGATTTAAATATCTTGGGTATCTATTGGCTTAGACTTGTCAAACTTTGTCAGTTGATGTATCTTGGGTTTTCGGAAATCATTGACAAAAAACTATTTTTGACATTTTCTGGCTAGATTTATGTATCTCAAGTACTTATTGGCTTAGAAACATGAAACTTTGTCAGTTGATGCCTCTTGGGTTTTCGGAGATCATGGACCAAAAAGTAAGTCACAGTGACCTACTTTTGACATTTTATGGCTTTATTAAAATATCTCAGGTACTTATTGGGTTAGAATCATCAAACTTTGTCATTTGACGCATATTGGGTTTTCGAAGCATGTCGACCAAAATGTAGGTCACAGTGACCTACTTTCGAATATCTCAGGTACTGATTGGCTTAGAATCATCAAACTTTGTCAGTAGATGCATCTTGGGTTTTTGGAAAATGTTGACCAAAAAATTGGTCTCCATGACCTACTTTTGACATTTTATGGCTATATTTATGTACCTCAGGTACTTACTGGTTTAGAATCATCAAACATTGTCAATTGAAGCATTTTGGGTTTTCCGAGAATGATGAGCAAAAAATAGGTCACAGTGACCTACTTGTGACATTTATTGCTATATTTAAGTATTCTAGGGTACATATTGGCTTAGAATTGTCAAACTATGTCAGTTGATGCACCTTGGGTATTCGGAGAATGCTGACCAATAAGTAGGTCACTGTGACCCACTTTTGAATATCTCAAGTACTTACTGGCTTAGAATCATCAATCTTTTTCAATTAATGCATCTTGTGTACTCAGAAAATTTAAATCAAAAAGTAGATCACCATGACCTTCTTATAGTATTTTATACTTACATTTAAATATCTTCAGTCTTAACTGGGTAAGAATCATCAAACTTTGTCAGATGATGCATCTTTGGTCTTAGGATAGGTTGTAAAATTTATCAGAAGAGCGATTCAAGGCCCCTGGGCCTCTTGTTTATCTTTACCTTTCTTATTATTGTGTCAAACTTTTATAAATTCATTTAACTTCCCTTTTTAAGTGAACAAAAAGATCAATACCATTTGAAATATTAAGGATGTGTTATTTTTTGCTTGCAAATACTGAAGTCTGATTATATTGAACCATTTTCTATGGCCTTCTTTTGATAAGTTTTCTGATAGTGTAGGGTCTTCTTGTCTAACCAATTGTGTACTATTATTACAAGAAAAGGAGCAACATCAAACAATAGTAGGGTAAAATACACAATTTGACCTCTTTTTGGAAATTATGCCTGTACATCCTTAAATAATTTGTAGATCACGACACATCTTATCTTTGAATCTGAGAGAATCTGATTTGGGAATTAACATATCAGATGTTTTTATAATAACTCATATCCTTATGACCAGAAAACTTGGTTTTTTGATGGAGAGAAGAATTACTTTACAATCATTTTAATTTGTGGGGGTCTATGTTTGTGGGTTAGTGAAATTTTGTTGGTTCTGGGGAATGTAATTTTGTAAGTAATTTGTATATTCAGAAGATTAACTGAACACAACTTTTCTGTTGAAGATTTTCTTCCCAACTTCCTTAGAAGGACAGCTTATTCAATGAATGGGATGTATTATAAACACCAAAATATCACTTCAGCTAAATTTTAACTATTTTTTTTATTCCTTGTAGGTCAAACGAGGTTTCAGCTATCAAAAGAATACAAGAAAAAGAACTTTTTAATTCTGTGGTTGGGGATTTCCAGATGTAAATATTGATAGTTGTTTTGTTTTTTTTTAATGTACCTGTAATCAACAGTTCAGGGTATATAGTTTTTCATTGTTGGTCTGTCTGTCTGCAGAAGTGTAAACCAGGCCTAAAGCTTTTGAGTGGATGGGGCGACTGATTTCACAGATGTATTCTTAGTGACCAGACTTGTTGACCTCCTTACATGGACCTTTGAGTTTCAACCACTTTAACAAAAAAATTAAACTGTATTCTTGGCCACAACTTTCAAATAGTTGATGCTAGAGCTTTCACTTTTGCATTCCATTTGACAAGACTTTCAACAGGTATAAATATTTTTTTGACATTGACCTTCAAGTTGGACTCACTTTTAAAATATTTTAACCTTGGACAGAACTTTTGAAAAGCAAGTACTAAGGCTTTCATATTTCGACGGTGACAAAACCTTTCTCTCGATACCAACATTTTTTACCTTGACCTTTGACTTGCAAATGAGAAACTACAACACACACAATAAGCTGTCATTTCGGGGCATCAGTGTTTCACAAACACATTTTTAAATCAACAAGCAAATTCAAAGAATTGTGGTCCCCCGCTTTCAGTGTCTTTTGGGTGAGATGTCATTTTTTATGACATTTTGCGTATAATATGAACGCCCTATCATAAGTCATCTATTTAGAAATTATCACTGAACTCCAAGATCAAGGTCAAAGGGTTAACATTCTTGTATCCAATGAAAAGTCTTCTCAAAAGGATTACATGAAGTATGAAAGCCTTAGCCCTTACCATTCAAAAGTTATGGTCAACCTTAAAGTTTTCTCATAAGTACTAAAAATCTCCAAGGTCAAGGTCAAAAGGTCAAGGTTGTTGGTATCAAATGAAAGGTCTTGCCACAAAGAATACATATGTGAAGTATGAAAGTTCTGGTATCTACTGTTCAAAAGTTGTGGCCAAGGTCAAAGTTTTTGAAAAGTAGGTCAAATTCCAAGGTCAAGGTCCAAAAGGCAAAGTTCTTGGCATTCAATGAAAGGTCTTCTCACAAGAATTATATATGTGAAGTATGAAAGCCCTTGTCCTTACCATTCTAAACTTATGGATAAGGTTAAAGTTTTCTTATAAGTACGAAAACATCCTAGGTAAAGGTCAAAAGGTCAAAGTTGTTGGTATCCAATAAAAGGTCTTCCTACAAAGAATACATATGTGAAATATGAAAGTCCTAGTACCTACCATTCAAAAGTTATGGCCAAAGTCAAAGTTTGGAATTTTTGTGTAAAATTGGGTCAAACTCCAAGGTCAAGGTCAAAAGATCGAATTTGATGGTACCCAAAGAAAGGTCTTGTCTTAAGGAATACACATATGAAATATGAAAGTCATGGCTCCACTAAATCAAAAGTTATGGGCAAGGTTAAAGTTTTTGTGATGGATGGACAGCTAGACAGACGGACAGACGAATGAGATTTAATATCCCCTTGCTTTCCCGAAAGCAAGGGACAATTATTAACAGCTCTTAAGCTGTTCAAGCAGTAGAATACAGTAGAATTCAGAGGTTATATTTTGTCAATACCTCAAGAATCGGATTCTATGATTATGAAAGTAAATTTCTGTTTTTCATTTATATTCATCTTTTGATAGTCGATGTTATACCTTAATTCTAATGCCCTGTTCACACGATGAGTTTAATTCGCAGTAAATTAATGCGAAGTAAACAAATGCGAATCAAACTAATGAGAATTAAATTGCATTCACACAACAGCTAATGCGAAGTTTAACTAATGCGAATTAAAATTCTACTTCTACTGCCAGGCGTCAGTAAGGCTATTATGACGTCATTTGCAAATCACGTCACCTAATGCAGGAGCAGCTGCATTTGACATAATATTACAGTGTCTGTATACACATTTTAGAAATTAACACAATTTTCCTTAGTTTTTACTCAAAAATAGCACTAATACTTCAATTTGACCACTGACATGTGGCATTTGACCTAATTTTGCCATTACGCATGCCTCAAAATTTAATTCGAATCAGCTTCGCGTAGCGTTCACATGGAGCTAATGCGAAGTAATTTAATGTGCAGTAAACTATTCGAATTAAACTAATTTGTATTGAAATCTCCATGTGAACGCTATGCAAAGCTAATTTGCAGTAACTTTATGTTTAATTCGAATTAAACTCTCCGTGTGAACAGGGCATAAATATCAATAGTCACTAATTTGGTTTTCATGTATAAAATATTTATATGATAGTAGCTAAAGCACCTGGCCATGTTTGTATTTTTGTTTTACATACAGATGCAGTGTTGATGTTTTGATATATTTTTGTAAAAATTGTTATGCTTTTTCATAGATTTATTTTTTATAATACTGTAGTAACTTAATTGAGTCCCTGAATGTCAATAGTCACTAATTTGGTTTTGATTTATAAAATATTGTATTTTTTATAAATATAGTAACTAAAAACAAGTCATGATTTTTTTTATGTTGTACATATACAATGTTGATGCTTTGATATATCTTTAAAATTTGTTATACTTTTTCATAGATTTATTTTGTTCGCATAATACTTATTAAGTAACTGAATTGAGTAACTTAAATTTTTCTTTGTTGTGAATTAGAATAGATAGTATTATTAATATAATTTCTGAGAATACAAATGTCATCATATTTGAAATTTGTTTTGCTGTTTACTATATCCTCTAGTTCACTCATCAATATTCAATAACAAATGTACCCAACCGGAGAAACTTGAAGATTCTCATAAGCTAATTCCAGTATGAGAATTTTAAGAAAATTCATCAAGAAAGAAAATAAATCCATTTAAATTCCATCAAGGGAAACCCCAAGATTCCTGATAAGTTTCCATGATACGGAAACTACTACCTTTCAATTCCCTTAGGTTTCCAACCTATGGAAACTCAAGTTTTACTACCGGTATATGAATCCAAACAGTTTCCTAATCATGGAATCTTTAAGATTCCCGACTAGTTTCCCATCCATTGAAACTACTATGTTCCAATTCCATAAGGTATCCCGAGACACAGAGGTCAGTGGAATCTTCAGGTTTCTTATGGTATCCAAATGGTTTTCAAAACATGGAATTCTTGAGATTCCTGACTAGTTTCCCATCCACAGAAACACCCTACGCTCTTATTCCATTAGGTATCCCGATACACGGAAACCAGTGGAATCTTTAAGATTCCCATACGGGAAACTTAGAGAATCAAGGGAAACCTTGCTATTCCACTGGATTCCAAGTCACGGGATACCTAATGGAATCCGAGTGTAGGGTGTTTTCGTTGCACGGAATCAAGGGGGAATAATCCAGTATCCTGCATGGAAACCACAAGGAACCATAATGTAATCTTGACACGTTCCTCGGCCTTTATATGAGCCTTTGGGCCAGGAAAGACGAAACTGTGGAATCATCCTCAGTGAGTGAAGATTCAAGCTTGTTCAGTTTCCATAAGGTTTCCAACAATGGGAAACTGGTTTTTTCACTCAGTACTGAGTACTACAAGACAAGTAAGAGACGAATATCCTAGGCTGTTGATACAGTCTACGGAGTACTACAAGACAGGAAGGAGACCAGTACCCTAAGCTATTGATACGGTCTACCAAGTACTACAAGATTGGTAAGAGACCAGTACCCTAGGCTATTGATAGGATCTACCAAGTACTTCAAGACAGGTAAGAAAACAGTACCCCAGGCAATCGATACAGTCCACTGAGTACTACAAGACAGGTAAAAGTCTAGTACGCTAGATTATTGATAAAGTCTACCAAGTACTACAAGACTTGTAAGAATCCAGTACGATAGGCTATTGATACAGTCTACTGAGTACTACAAAACTGGTAAGAGACCAGTGCTGTAGGCTATTGATATGGTCTACGGAATACTAGTCCAGTACCCTAGGCTTTTGATACGGTCTTCCCAGTACTAAAAGACTGGTGAGAGACCAGTACCCTAGGGTATTAATATGGTCTACCGAGTACTACAAGACAGGTAAGAGAACAGTACCTTAGGCAATTGATATGGTCCACAGAGTTCTACAAGACAGGTAAAAGTCTAGTACGCTAGATTATTGATATGGTCTACTGAGTACTAAAAGACAAGTACGAGTCCAGTTCCCTAGGCTTTTGATACGGTCTACCCAGTGTTACAAGACAGGTAAGAGTCCAGTACCCTAGGCCATTGATACGGTCTATCGAGTACTACAAGACTGGAAGGAGACCAGTACCCTAGGCTATTGATACAGTCTACTGAGTACTGGTAAGAAACCAGTGCCCTAGGCTATTGATACGGTCTACCAAGTACTTCAAGACTGGAAAGAGACCAGTACCCTAGGCTATTGATATGGTCTACCGAGTACTACAAGACAGGTAAGAGAACAGTACCCTAGGCTATTGATACTGTCCACCGAGTACAACAAGAAAGGTAAAAGTCCAGTATGCCAGATTATTGATATGGTCTAATGAGTACTACAAGACATGTAAGAATCCAATACCATAGGCTATTGATACAGTCTACTGAGTACTGCAAGACAGGTTGGAGACCAGTACCCTAGACCATTGATATGGTGTACTGTGTATTACAAGACAGGTAAAAGTCCAGTACCCCAGGCTATTGATACGGTCTACCGAGTACTACAAGACAGGAACTAAGAGTCCAGTACCTTAGGCCATTGATACGGTCCACCAAGTACTACAAGACAGGTAAAAGTTAAGTACCCTTGACTTTTGATATCATCTACCGAGTACTAAAAGACTTGTTAGAATCCAGTACAATAGGCTATTGATACTGTCTACTGAGTACTAAAAAACTACTAGGAAACCAGTACCCTAAGGTATTGATACGGTCTACCGAGTACTCCAAGACATGTAGGAATCCAGTACTATAGGCTATTGATACGGTCTACTGAGTACTACAAACCTGGTAAAATACCTATACCTTAGGCTATTGATACGGTCAATTGAGCACTACAGAACAGGTAAAAATCCAGTACAATAGCCTATTGATATGGTCTACTGAGTACTAAAAGACAAGTAGGAGTCCAGTACCCTAGGCTTTTGATCGGTCTACCCTGTACTACAAGACTGGCAACAGACCAGTACCCAAGGTTTTTGCTATGGTCTACTGAGTACTACAAGACAGGTACTAAGATCCAGTACCCTAGGCCATTGTATGATAAGGTCTACCGAGTACTACAAGACTGGTAAGAATCAAGTACCCTCGGCTATTGAAACAGTACTGAGAACTACAAAACTGGTAAAAGACCAGTACCCTAGGCTATTGATACGGTCTTGCAAGTTCTACAAGACAGGTAGAAGACCAGTACCCTAGGTCATTTATATGGTCTACTAAGTACTACAGAACAGGTAAGAAACCAGTACCCTTAGTTAATTATACGGTCTACCAAGTACTACAAGATAGGTAAAAGTCCAGTACCCTAGGCTATTGATATGGTCTACCGAAACTACAAGACAGGAACTAAGAGTCCAGTACCTGAGGCCATTGATAAGGTCCACCAAGAACTACAAGATAGGTAAAAATAAGTACCCTAAACTATTGATATCATCTACCAAGTACTAAAAGACTTGTTAGAATCCAATATGATAGGCTATTGATACAATATACTAAGTACTAAAAAAAGTAGGAGACCAGTACCCTTGGCTATTGATACGATCTACCGAGTACTACAAGACTTGTAAGAATCCAGTACGATAGGCTATTGATACGGTCTACTGAGTACTACAAAACTTGTAAGAGAAGAGTACTCTAGGCTATTGATAGGGTCTACCAAGCAGTACACAACAGGTAAAAGTCCAGTACAAAAGGCTATTGATACAGTCTACTGAGTACTACAAGACAAGTAGGAGTCCAGTACCCTAGGCTTTTAATTCAGTCTACCCAGTACTACAAGACTGGTAAGAGACCAGTACCCTAAGCTATTGATTTGGTTCACCGAGTACTTCAAAACAGGTACTAAGAGTCCAGTAACTTAGGCCATTGCATGATACGGTCTACCGAGTACTACAAGACTTGTAAGAATCCAGTACCATAGGCTATTGTTACAGTCTGCTGTGTACTTCAAAACTGGTAAGAGACCAGTAACTTAGGTTATTGATATGATCTACGGAGTACTACAAGACTGGTAAGAGACCAATACCTTAGGCTATTGATACGAACTACCGAGTACTATAAGATAGGTAAGAGACCAGTACCCTAGGCTATTGATACAGTCTTCTGAGTACTACAAGACAGGTAAGGGAACAGTACCCTAGGCAATTGATACAGTCCACCGAGTACAACAAGACAGGTAAAAGTCTAGTACCCTAGGCCATTGTATGATACGGTCTACTGAGTACCACAAGACTTGTAAGAATCAAGTACCCTAGGCTATTGATACAGTACTGAGAACTAAAACTGGTAAGAGACCAGTACCGTAAGCTATTGATACGGTCTTGCGAGTACTACAGGACAGGTAAAAGTCCAGTACCCTTGGCTATTGATACGGTTTTCTGAGTACTACAAGACAGGTACATTGTACTAAGAGTGCAGTACCCTGGGTCATTGTATGATACAGTCTACCGAATACTACAAGACTTGTAAGAATCCAGTACCTTAGGCTATTGATACAGTCTACTGAGTACTACAAATCTGGTAAGGGACAGTTTCCTAGGATATTGATACGGTCTACCGAGTACTCCAGGACAAGAAAAAGTCCAGAACCTTTGGCTTTTGATACGGTCTACTGAGTACTATAAGACAGATACAGTAGGAGACCAGTACCTTAGGCTATTAATAGGGTATATCGAGTACTGGACATTTGCGAAATAGCGTACAGCGAACAGCGGACTTCAGACATCTAAAGGCGGACTTTTCTAAGGGAGCGATTTAAAAACTTGAAAAATGTAAATTAATAACAAATCATCTGAAAATGTACAAGCCTCTGATAGCTATGAAAAAATTAAATCGAATAATTTTGAAATTCGTATTTTGACTGGTTTAATTAGAAAGTTTGCAAAGAATTTATTCGTGAACATTAAACTGTCTCGAAATAACATAAAATAATATTTTTGTATGCATTATTAAATTGAATAGTATCAAATATGAACTACAAACAACTACATGTACAATCTTAGAAATTGAATTGTACAGACATTATATTTCAACTTCACATTAATTAATTTGTTTCTAATTTGCAAACTGAAAGTACAACTTCTGATCAATGTGATATACTGTAAATAAACCTTTTTAAATAAGGGATGTTTTACGCCCTGCATGCACAAATTTGGGTCATATTATACTTTTCAATTCCCATTTGCTATGCAATTTGTCGTTGGAAGATGAACTGAGTAGAAAGCATGAATTTTGTCAAAACTTTAATTTATATTTTACTGTATAAAACTTATACTAAATTAGCCTATTTTAAATATAATGGACAATTAAGATACCAAGTTTAATGACACGTAAAAGCTGTCTTTCAAAGATAAAAAAATGTTTTTTTCTGTTCGTTTGTTTGCTTGTTTTTTACTTTTTTTTTGAATATT